ACGTGCTTACGAAACATTGGCTAGTGATAACGACACTGACACAAATTGTTCGGCCGCTGAGATACAGCCACAGTTGCTACTAAACCAAGTGCGGTCAGTTTATTTGGTGACATATAGCCAAGCCAATAAGTGTGAATTTCCCTACGCTAGAATACTTTGCGAAGGTTTTAGTTGAATGTTTCCAGCAAGCTGGTGTAGATGTCGTGCAATGGTGTTGTAGCGAGGAAAACCACAAGCACGGTGGTATACATTACCATGCTGCTATTAAACTGAAAAAAATTTGCCGATGGAGTGGTTGTAAGAGGGTTTTGAAGCAGCGCTATGGTATAACTGTGAATTTTTCAAGCCATCACCATAACTACTACAGTGCGTGGTGTTATGTGACCAAAAGCGATACGGACTTTCGGGAGAGTGAAGGGCACCCCGATTTAAAAAACAAAGGAAAAACAAAAACAAGCGAGGCGAGCGAAAACGTTGCAAAGAAGGGTAGGAAAAGGGGCCCGGGCGGCTCCAAAGTCGCTAAAACTAAGAAGCGAAAACGTTTAACCTCGTCCCAGGTAGCTGATATACTGTTAGCGAAAAACATCAAAACGGTGACGGAGCTNAAAACGTTGCAAAGAAGGGTAGGAAAAGGGGCCCGGGCGGCTCCAAAGTCGCTAAAACTAAGAAGCGAAAACGTTTAACCTCGTCCCAGGTAGCTGATATACTGTTAGCGAAAAACATCAAAACGGTGACGGAGCTTCAAGCCCTAGCTTACACACAGAAAAGGGAAGGGAAAGAGGATGTGATGGACTTCATTATTGGAAGATCTCGTAAAGCAGTATCTGAGCTGCTTGAAACAACGTAGGAAATAAAAGAAGCAGGGGAAAAGATCGCGCGTGCCCATAAATCAAGCGTAGAGATTCTACAAGAGGCAGGAAATGAAGAATGTTTGTGTGCTACTAGAGAGGAGTGGCTAGAATGTGCCAGACAAGTGCTACAGAACAATGATATTGAGGAACGTACTTTTGGTAGGGCTATAATGACCGCATTAGAGAAAGGGAGGGGTAAATATAGGAACATAATGATTATCGGACCTGCAAATTGTGCGAAGACATTCCTTTTAAAGCCGCTAAGTGTAATTTACAACACTTTCTGTAACCCGGCTACAGGTAGCTTTGCGTGGGTAGGTGTACAGGACAAAGACTGTATTTTTCTGAACGATTTCCGATGGTCCCAGCAGTTGCTACCATGGCACGATTTATTGCTTTTGCTTGAAGTTGAAATAGTACATTTCCCAGCGCCCAAGACACATTTCATGCAAGATATTCAGTTGACAAAGGATACTCCCATCTTCTGTACCACTAAACGGCCACTTTTGTTCATCAAGAATGGCATGGTAGATGATAGAGAAAGTGAAATGATGGCCGTCAGGTGGAAAATATTTGAACTAAGAGTGCAGATTCCTGAGACAAGTCAGTGCGCAATGCCACCTTGTCCAAGTTGCTTTGCAAAGCTAATTACTTGCGGTTCATAAAAATACTTTTCATGCGTGCCGTCACGCTGCACAACGGTTTACAATAATCGGAGCATTTTCTGTAGTTGAAAAATATTTATTCCTAGATCTTTCACTTTTTCCAACGGTTTACAAAAACTTATTATTACAAAGGTCTAGTCAGAAGCAAAAAAACTGCACATTTACGTCCTTTACAACAGTTAACGTCGAAACCCTTGAAATATGAGACTGTCACTCAACTATTCTTTAAAGACAGCCAGTAAAGCGTTGTAAACCGTTTGGAAATAGCCATTTTAAGAACAATATGTTCTGTGTGTCCAGATTATTATGTACAGTAGCCGGGACACATAATTTCCTTGCTCGACGGAATTTTTTCGCCTAAGAATCGTCCCGAAAATGAACACCAAAGTACACGGTTTACAAACCGGAACTAACCTTGAAGACAAACGCAGGTGACGTCAGCTTTGTACTGTATAAGAGAATGTAATTCCTTTTATTTCTTATTTTCAAGTACTGATTCTCAACCATTGTATACATTTCTCTTCACAATTGCTTAGTACTTTGTTCTGTTCCCTTTGTTTTTAATGATTAAATCTATACGACCATTCATAGAGTCAATAATTTTATCAATCGATTCACTTGGCCAGTTCAAAAAGGTAGTTATTACTCGGCTTTGGAATTCGTCGTAGCTTTCGCGAGTAATATTTTGACTCAAAGCTTGTTGGCTGAGGTCGCACCTTACTGAATGAAACAAATTCTCCATAGGATTTAAATCTGGGCTTCTGGGAGGAATGGATAACAATTCGGCTTTAAGTTTTCTTAAAGCCCTCTTCACTCCCGCAGCGTTCTGGCTCGGATCAGCATCTTGAAGCCAAAGGCGGGAGGGCCCTTTGTCGGCTTTTGTAAAGAAATTAGCAAATTAGCTTTAACAAAATTTTCAAAAAACTGTCCATCTAGGTGTTCGTAAGGATGGCAAGCTATAACCCCTTTTTTGTAGCTAATAGCCACAAAAAGCTTAAGAACTCTTCCACCACTGCCCTCTTTCTTCCCCTTCGCCGTGCATCCCTCAGCGAGACCCTCCTTCTTTGTTCTCCATATTCGGCCTTGCGGGGCTTTTGCCTGCCCCGCAGGGTTTCTTTTGTAATAGAAACTCACCCCGTCTAAGTAAAAGTTCACTTTGGAAGTCCACACGTCTCTCGGTTTTTCTTTGCGAATCTTTTTAGCAAAGCGATATCTACATACAATATCATTCGAGGAAAGAACCCCTTTTTTACGCGCCTGTCTGTATCCAAATCCATGCTTGTTCAGAACACGACGCACCGTTCTATTGTTTACTTGACCTCTATGCAATCCGCAGGCCTCTACCAGTTTACCTAAAGTGAAGTTAGGGTTTTCACGACGAAGGTTTGCCACTTGTCGGATCAATAATCTTTCCATTCTTGTATCGATCTTGCGCGGTCGTCCAGGGCTCGCTCTCATCTTTTTTCTCTTTAAACATCCGAATCCGTCCTTGTTGATCTTATAGATGGTGGCTAATGAAACTCCAGGTTTTTCTGATAGTTCTCGAGGCTTGTGCTGGTTGCCTTGCAATGCATAAAGTATATACGCCTTTAAACTCCCGTCTATTGCGCCGTGGAAAACCATATTTCTCGCTCGTATACCAAACCCCCCAATGACGTAACAATAACTTTCCCTATTATTTACTCTAATTAGCGGTAATTGGTCGTCCTGAACTATGACGTCAGATCACTTGGACAAATACAATAATTTAATGGAGGAGTACTTACCCCTCACCCGGTCGTTTTTGATTATCGGGCCAAATGTTGAAAATACAATCTTGGACAAAAAGTGTTAAGAATTTTACACTTTGTTATACACGGGGGACACACCCAGTGAATTTAGCATCATGGTGGCCCCTCCCCCCACCCCTCCTGATCAGTGTTGTTAAGTCTGGACCAGAAATGTTCCGGTGACCCTTCAACATTGTTTTTTTTGGGGGAGGGGAAAGTATCTTGAGTGTACGGGTCTTTCGAGTGAAGTATTCTAAAATGAAACATACGAGATGTATTTTTCTTAACATTTTTGTCCAAGATTGTAGCGAAGGAGAAGTTGGCAAAGTTCCTCATAGCTTATAGGAACACTCCTCACTCCACTACTGGTGTGAGCCCAGTACAGGGTCTCCTTGGAAGACCGTTGCGCACTCGCCTAGATTTGGTGAAACCCAACTTGAACCGTAAGATGGTTAACCAACAGCACCAGTAGAGCATCAGGGCCGCGAATGAGAAGGGTAGACAGCGTCGTCCGTTAGAGGTTGGTGACTTGGTGATGTCACGAGATTATCGAGGGGATCTGAAGTGGCGTCCAGGGCTGATTGTAAACAATACAGGTCCGCTAATGTACGAGGTGCCGGTGGCACGAATCGACATATCGACATATCGACCAGTTGAAGCCCAGTTGAGCACACAGTTGAGGTCACTGACACAGACACTGTTGAGGTCAGCCAACCCGAAGTGGCCAGCACACCACCAGCGCCAATCCAACTGAGTCCTCTATCCAATGTGGTTGGTACAGTTCTAGAGATTCCCGTGGCAGAACAACCGGAGATGGTTCCTGTTCCCACACCTGTAGCTCCCGACCCTCCTGAAGCGACTCCAGTCAGTTCTACGGTCCATGAGCGGCGGTACCCTCAGGGAGTGCGCAGGGCACCACAGAGACTCGATCTCTGAATGGTTTTTCTACTTTTCTTAGAAACTGTAGGAAAAAAAATACAAACTAGGGCCGGATCATTCACAAGGTTAATACGCCGTATGCTGGACTTGAAGGATTGTAAAGTAGGTTTATCCTTGATTTTGCTGTCAAATCTAGACCATATACAGCTATTTCGAGAAAGGTTGTCGGAACAAGTGCACACGACAATATCGAACAGAATTGTGGGTGGTTTTGAGTTCACTAATTTTCAAAAAAAAAAATTTGAAAAAATGACATGAGAGGCCACAGACATATGTTTGCGAGTGCTAAAAGAAAGTAACAAAAGTAGTTTCGACAGCTCAGTGTCAGGAACAGTGTAATGATGATATCCCATATTACCTTTCGGGATTGTCGCGTGCACGTTTTTTCCAACAACCTTTCTCGAAATAGCTGTATATGGTCTAGATTTGACAGCAAAATCAAGGATAAACCTACTTTACAATCCTTCAAGTCCAGCATACGGCGTATTAACCTTGTGGATATTATAAGTAAAAATTGTGGCTCCTGTCTTATTTGTAGTACTTGAGAATTTTTAAAAATATTTTAAGCATTTTTCTGTATATATTAGTGGGGATAACTCCGTAATCTTATAACTTTTAAATTTTCACCTTTTATAAATTTCAGATTCCAGAGAACTATAAATTCATTTATGATACCACGTATAAACTCATTTTATAATTTGTTTTTCCTATTATTTTAGTGTCCCCAATAAGCTGTTATAAGCTAAAGACATCGACACTTAAATAAAGTTATGTTTATGTTTAATAAAGTAATCGTGCGGGGATCCCTAGCGCTGCGTTTCAACATCGATCTGACCGGCAGTCGTGCAAACAACTTTCTCGTCCAGAACGTCGCGAGAGCGCTGGTCGACAAGATCGCTGTAAAATACAAGAGCGCAAACCAGCCTGACGCATCCTGCCACGACATATACAAAATTTTCGTGCGCGAAAACAACATGCTGCCGGAAGGAATTCAAACCAACTCGCTCGGACGCCAAAGACAAAGAGAAAACGTGCGTGGATGCTGAAAAAGCTCTTGACCCCGTTTTGGGTAACAACTACAACACCCGGCTGGACCACCCTATTTTGAGTCATTGTGGGGTTTTCCACCCAGAGGCCCTCTACAACGATTTTGAGGCCCTCTACAACGACCTTATTTTCGAACTGACGCTTGCGTTGGCTTAACAGGTTGTAAAAGGCTCAGACGCGTCAAAACTTGTCTACAAACTGACAAACATTCAGCTAAAGTATGAGACCATCCACAGCAAAAAATTGGCAGACGTGGCAACCAGCGTGTACAACAGCGGCAAGGCCTTCGCATACGATCATATCATGCGAGAAGAGGTAACCTTTGCAAAAGCCACGGACAACAGGCTCAACATCAGAGTGAACCCTCAGCGCTTGTCGCTTAAGAGCAGTCGTCTGCTCTTTATCGAACCCTACACCGCCGGCACCCGAGACTCGGAAAAATACGTCAACCCGAACATCACCATAGTGAGCGTCACGGTGAACGGTTCGCCAAACAAGATCTACAACAACGGAACCGAGGCACAGGATCTGTGGCCGGACGTAGCCGCGATAGATAAACACGTTCCTAGCAAAATGGCCTTCACAATGCTCTCTATACAGACAACAATTTTGGGTTGCTTATCGACCTTCGTTCCATGGCGGACACAACAATGCACGGCAGCGGCGTCAAGCTTGTAAACACTAACGACGGTGTGTTCCTTGAGGTCGATAGAAAGACATCTGGCTCGCGAAATGTGAAATGCCATTTTTTCACAATCAGCAATGCTCAGATGAGCATCTTGGATAGACAGCTCGTGTCTGTCGAATATTAAGATATAAATGGACCCAAACAACATTTTGTTTAACGCACTCACCGTGGGGCCGACAAACTCTGGCAACACTCTCAATTCCTCGTGAACAAACGGCGTGACCCATTTCGTTGCAAGTTCGACTACATGGTACTGACATGTCCAACCTTTGTCCACAACAAAACCTACGACAGGTTTGTGGATTAAGATTCACGCATTTTTGCCATTGTCTTCCTGCAAGAGGAGCTCGAACTCTGACTGAAACTCAGCAGCCATTTTTCGAGGGCACGAACACGCTCATCACTGCACTGCCTCAAAAGTTGGGAAAGGCCGCACTAGCCAGCTGGGCTCTCTCGGCTTTTCTGCCCACCATGCAGGCATCAGCGTGTGGCTTCTAACCCAGGAGATCACCAGCATCGCAAAGCCATTCCACGAAAACGTGGCCGCCATCTTTCTGTTTTACACTCCGTCGGGCAAAACCATGAAAGCCATCTTTAGGGACTACGCAGGCGAGCCTTCCCCTGAAGAGTAAAAAAAACTGATGACAGTGCTGAAAAAAAAAAAAGTTCCTTTCTGGACTTCCCCTTGCGCCACCCTTTCGGAATAAATATTTTTCAGTTAATTTTTTTACAGCGTGTCTGAACGCGCTCAGCGAGGTCATGAAACTGACGGAAGTCGCTCTAAACCCTCCGATTTTCCTTTTTCGCTCCCTGCCAACAACATTCCAGAAAAATGCAAAAAGCTGGCTGTTCTTGTATCCACCGACAAAACAAAAGAGGTGCTCGACTCCCAACTTTCTCACGAACAAGTGAAAGGCCTCACGGACAATGAGGTGGAGAAATTTTACAAAAGATATGAGGCCTACATTGGCAGCAAGACCACCAAAACGCTGCTTCGGAGCTTTTTTATGCTTGCCAGCAAGGCGATCGGTATGGTCGTCAAAGTGGATGACGTGGAAGCACTGCAAAAGGACTTGCAAAAGGACTTCGTTATGAACTCGACATTTTCGTCTGTGGCTGGAAATATGGCACTGCACTGCGGCCGCCTGCTGGCGTTTGGCAATGCTGCTCTGATCACAGCCAAGCACATCAATTTTCAGAAAGAAACTGAAAAGGAACCTAGAAAGGAACCTGTCCAAGAACATTGCAGAGAAGCTGACAAAGAGCTTGTGAAAATTTTCACCTTATTAGATAAAACATGGCTGAGAAATGGCATGCACCTGCGGTACCTGCCGATGCAGAGGAGGTGTTATCAAAAGCTCCTACGACAAAACCTGCAAACCCTGGGCGAGTTGCAGCTGGAAAAAAAGTTAGCCAAACGAAATCGCTTAGGATGTGAGGCAAAAAAGAACCAAAAACCGCCAGATGCCCCTGCTGAAGAAAAAGAAAAGTCAGAGAACGCAAGCGGCGGAGTCAACAGTTATTTGCTTCTTGGAATTGGAGGTCTGGTTGTCTCCGTTCTGGGTCTTTATTATCAACGAGAGGCGATTATGACCACCCTCCGGCGAACCCCCGCACACGCGGCAAAGATGTTGCGTCTGCGCCAGAACCAAAGCCAAAGCCCAACCCAGCCGCAATCTTCGGTTAATGGATTGAAATTTTTTCACATAATATATTTACAGCCATGTCAGACAACAAGTTGGTCAAAAGTTCTTTCAGCACTGCAATGCTTTACGGTTTGCGGAGAGTTATTGAGACACTGCCCAACCACCAACCAAACAATTTTTTGATGAAGCGTTTCACCATATCAAAGATATTTTTATCCACCTCGCCGAGATGTCCCAGGCAAGGAATACTTTTTTCACATAAATATATACGATGTCTGACAACAAGCTCGTCAAAACCGTTTTCGATGTTGCAACGCTTACCGGCTTGACCGCCGGCATCGGCTGGGGTGCGAAGAAAACCGTCAAAGAAAACTTCACTGCCGACCCCAGCAGCAATACGAAGAACTACGTTAAGTTGACCATCGTGTTGGTTGTAGCCATTGCTCTAAAGCAATAGCTCGAGGATAAAAAATTCTCCCAGAAAACGTCTGGGTTTATATATAGCATGGCAAGTGTTGCTATCATGGCTGGTGGTGCTGTCCTTAACGCTGTGTCTGTCATTGGCGGCAATTATCTTACCCGTTATCTTTCTGGCGATGACCCAAAGGCTGCCCTGTAAGAAAAAAAGGATAAGACAAAGCTTTCGAAGCTTACCAAGCCGCTTATTTCAGATCCCAAAAAAATCGAACGAAGCTGCTTGACTGGATCGAAACGCTGCACGAAAGAAAAGAACTGGCCAAACAAAACTTCACGAACACCGATTACGCCATCACGCTGTACAACCGGATATACCAAGATGAGTCGCTTACAGCCTCCAGCGAACCAAAGTTTTCTGACTTTTACCAGCCCAGCGCTCTGCAAAAACAAGGCGAGCTGATTTTTGTTGGCACCGGTGCTCTTTCGCTCGGTTACGCTGCCTTTCGACTCTTGTAATCAAACTAATTCCCAAAACCCTGGCCATTCTATCTCGAACTCTTTTTCGCGACATTTTCGATCAACAAAATACATTGTCCATTTTGGCTAATTACTTTTTGAATCTTTTTTTGACGCTCGAAACAAGAATCGGACAAAGACCCAAGTGTCTACATTTCAGCTCAGCCAGGACGAATTCCGCGTTGAGCGGGCTATCCACGACTTCCCAAAGTTTTTTTTGCCATTCTGAGGGCTAATTTCTGCATGGCATGACAGAAAGTTCCCCACCTTTTAACTCCTCGATGACTTTTGACATTTTGTCTCTTGTCGGCGGATCCATTTTACATTTGTTCTCAATAGTTATTATAGAAATGGATGAGAAACTATCGAAAATTTACTACAGCCATCAAAGTTACTGGAAAGGTATCGCCGCTATCAAAAACTTTCAACCGCTGCAAAGGTTCCCGAAAATGACGAAAAAAAAAGACACGCCAAGCCCTTTGACAAATCTATCTTCCCACGCCAAAACACATTCCTCGCCCCAAATTAGATGTGTCGACACCAAACGCCGTTCACCAGGCAGACCTTCTTTTCCTTCCATACGATACTGTGAGGCATGACCGGGGCCGAAAAACATACAAATACGCTTTGACTGTAGTCTATGTGGCCAGCTGTCTCAAAGAAGCTGAACTCCACAGCTTTTGTGGACCCGGGGCGCGAGTTCATGAGGCTGCCACCAAAGAGATGGAAAAACACAGAACAAACATTCGACGCGGGCGGATGGATATTTACCGGTACCAGGTGATCGTGGAAAGATTCAACCGCATTGGTCTCCTCTCTGAAAGGCGAAGTCACTCCTCTGCGATTGTTCTTTATCTCTACAAACCTGGCTAGCTTGAAGGTGGAAGGAAAAAGGCCACAGATCCGATCTGGTCTTTGAAACTGCACTACATCAAAATAAAAACATCATCAAGCCCAACGAGCCGATTTTGTATTATTTGCATGACGGCCCCAAGCGTGGCTTTGTTCGCAAGAAACTTCTTGTCGTGCCTGCGGACACCGAGCTGCCGCCTCCCTCCTTCCTCATAGAATCTCCCACAGCTCTCGCTCCCAAAGCTCCTCTTCCTCGATGTGGTATTACAATAAGTTCCGTGAGGATGCCGTCCTCTAGAACCCTAGCGTTTGCCGTAGTACGCGCTCAGCCCCAGCGTTTTATGCTTGTAGGTGCACATCACCCCTCTGTTCATTCTCATTTCTCTGTTGGTGGCGGTATATACGCCCCCCGCTAGCGCGTCCTTGTACCGGACCCAGTGCAGTTCGTTTTCCTGTTTTTAACCCCTTTTTGAGGACGCTTTAACCGTTCCGTTGTCGGCCTCGCCGCAATGACACTTTCCGCAAAGAGCGATCATGCGAGTGCCCTCGAACTTCAGCTTGAACAGCCCAGCTTTGCGTTCGCTCCATTTGTTCCTTCACGGTCGTCTGCGTTTTCAAGGCTTCGATTAGCTTGCCATATGCGCTGTTGCCAAACAACTTGAACACCTCCGCCAGCTTCATTATTTCGTCCGAATATCAAGTTCGGCCCCCCGACAACCGCCGCTTTCAGCGTTTCAGCCTCCTTGCCTAGGGCGTACAACTACGGGCCTCTCTTTGGTTCAGCGTGCCCCGCAGGAGATATTTCATCGAGACACCCGGCAACGACAACGCATCTTTGAAAAGGAGGATTCCCAACCCAGTGTAAAAGTCTCGGATGGACTCCAGGGCGTCTAGAAAGAGCTCAACGTCCAGGTTGTTGTAAAAATGCAGCCAATCAGCGAACGTTTTCATTCCCCGTTCCCGGAACACTCGCTAGCAGTCCTCATACTCCTCCAGCGACAAGGGAAAATTGTTTTTCCTGTTTAGGAAACCAATAACGATACGGAGGCAAGCCTTCAAAGTCCAACTTATCAGCACAGTCAAACCACTCATACGGCAGCCATGATTTCGAGAGCTTGGCCCCGTACGTTTTCACCCATTTTCCGTAACTTGTCCCAGGGCTGACATAGTTACAAATGTCCAGAAACTTGAACACCGGTGTGGACATGTACATGACCTTGTTTTGTTTGTTTGCCACTTTTACATCGCCGGATTGTGCGATGTGGGTCACAAAATACTTCTTGATTAGATTCAGATTATAACGTCCTGAGTTGAAAGATCGAACTGAATTCTGGAAACACCATTGGCTTATAAGCTTTTGCTGCTGCTCCGGCAGAAAAAAGGAATCCTCCTCCTTCTCGGATGGCGGCCGCCCTTCGTTCGAGCGCCTCCCGAAATTTGCGGATCAGCTCTTCCGGATCTTTGCTGGATATGTGTTCCGGCTCTTTGTTCAAAGTGTCTGCCAGCGAAGCAGACGCGGGTAGTTGCTCGTTTTCAAACAGCAGGTCTTTTGTCCCCTGCGGACGTTTGCTCGCGCCCAGCAACGACTAGAAATCGAACACAATGGCGTACGGAAAGGTTTCTGTTTTGCTTTTCAGATAAATCGGCCTTTTATGGAAGTTATGCTCCTGACACTCGACCCGTTCAAAACCCGCCTCAAGAATCGAATTCCTTTTTTTTTTTAGCGTACGAGCATACTGCATCTCTCGTGTCAAATTTCGTTTTCCTTGCTTGCTTTTTTCGAAAGCGACCACTTCCTTTCGCCCATTTTAAAAACAGTCTGGACAGCCGAGCCAATGGCAACCGCGGAAATGGAACACCATATTTGTTTCCGGGCAAAAACGATCCATTCGACAGCCTGCAAACACCCTTTCCCACCGTGACACTACATTTTGTGATCGATATACACAGCCCTCCGACGGGACTCGTGCTCCATCCAGCTTACCGCCTTTCGAGAATAAGCCCTTTTCCCTTAAACGCGTTTTTTTAAGCCGTCTCGGGGATCTGGATTTGCTCTCCTCGGCACACCAACTTGGTTGCCCCTCTTGTGCAAACCTCTGCGGGCCGCCGCAAACTGCCAACTTGTGTCAATTTTGTTTGACCCTTGGCACACGCATAGTGGTTTCGAGATTTGGAATCAGACAAGCATGATCTTGGTAAATGCCGATGTTCATCTGGGGCACCCTGATTTTGTCAAAGCGCGAGGGCAAACGAACGAAACGAAAACGTACCTTCCTCGTCAACCTCGTATTCAGCAAACCTGTGCTTAAAATGGTTTTCGATCAAGGGAAAATGCCCCTGGTAAGTTCGACGCCCTCGAACTGGATGATTAGCGAAAAAGCTTTCGGCGACCTTATATTGAATCGACGGTCCGCCCCTCAATGACCAGCAAGGCATCTAAAACTACAGAGATCGACGGCGTACGTATCCAGTGCCAACAAACAAACCCTTTTTGTTTCGAAGTCAATCAGGCAAACGCCTCGCCCCAACATGCAAAGGTGCTTGTGGGTCCCTATAATTTTTATCTCGACCATGAGGTTATCCTCGTAAGACCATTTCGTATTTGGGCGATCTACGTCTTCACCCTGGAAGAGGTTTTCTTCCTGTTCTTCCAGCCATCGCCTCGCTTCTTGCGGTCTTTCGAACCAGTAGCTTCTTCGGTTTTTATAATAAGCCACTGTGTCCCCCTTCTCAATGTTTCGAAGCTGATAGGCATAACCGTGTTTGATGAAAAAACTGTTTTTCGCAGTTTTTTCGATCTTTTGAAACGCCTTTGTGGTCAAATTGTTTTTCACATCAAGCAAAAACCGCCACTTTGAGAATCTTTTACTCCTTTCCTCTTCGGTTTTTTCGGCGAATTCAGCAACCAAGTGTTTCTTCCGCACGTCCTTCTAAAATATCAAACCACTTCGTTGGCACCGTTGCTTGTATTTCGTCATCATCAAAGACGTCTTGCGCCGTAAACACTTAAACATAATGCATCTTAAGGTGGCTCGACTGGATTTTTTGGGGTTGATAACTCCCCAGTTTGAGCATCAACTACGTCGGCATGAGTAAAGATATGGAAAAAACGGTTACCACAGCTGTATTATATAAAAATGAAAATTTCTTATGATCTGGGTTTTATTGTAATCGGAGTCGCCATGGCAACGTAATGACGCAATTACGTTTTTCATTTACCTTTGTCTTTCTCTGTACCATGAGTTTTTTGAAGAAATCGCTTTAGGGAGTATGTACCTGCCATAATTGCCTCCATTATGCCAAAGGTTTCGAAATATTTTGAAATGCAGTTTTAACAATCATAAAAACAGTGAAATAGCATGCTAGCCACACAATTCGCTGATATTTTAAGAAAATGATAAGATTTGGGAACGCGGCTTCATCTCATAGTGGTTTGATTCCATTGAAAACTGCATACAAAAAAAAGAGGGGAATTGCTCTGGGCGATCGGGAGTAAGAAGAATTTTATTAAGTTGGATTCAGCTGCTTTTGATAAAAATTTCGCATTTTTCCAAAAACCGCTCGATAAATTTTGTTATAAATTCGACAATCCCGAGATCAATCGTCAAGAAATCTTCCCTGCAAGTTTCAAGAACATTGAAATCAGGGAAGTCTTTTAAATAGGGCCTCAAATATAGCCAATTTTTCCCCCAGATTTTGTGTTTACAAGTGCGCGTCCTCATTATTCACTGGCATTGTTTTCAAGTTTCATATATACGTGCACATTTAGCAAAAAGATATAATTTGGAGGGGCTTATTTTCGGAATTTTACGGTATTTCGAGCTTGGGCTACCTGTGATGTACGTAGCTGCTTTTCCACATCTCACAAGCCACGGATGGAAGCACGCTTCCTTTTTTCCAAGTGAGGTGCTTGCGTGACTTGTGAATTCGTCACGCTTTTCTCTACGGACGAATTTGACAATAAATCTGTCCTTCTTACTCTTGGTATCGGGCAATCGGTGGGCGATCGAAATGTCTTGCTTGTCGACTGTTACATTGATGAGCTGGCCCAGTTCTTGCGTTAGATTTGATGGAGAATCCAGAGGCTACATTGGGATTCCAGAAATTTCAAGGCATTTCCTTCTTCCTTCATTCACGTCCTCAGAGCCGCTCGGATTAATTTGTAACGAACCAGTCAAGAACACGTGACCAAGAAACGACGGGCTCTGGCGAGAATGCTCTTCTACGCGCCCCTTGCTCCTGTGCGCCTCCTCCTCGAGCTCCTTTGGGCACATTTTTTCAAATATACAGTCAACTCTCTCTAAGACGGACACCTTTGGGACCGGCACTAGCTGTCCGTCTTAGAGAGGTGTCCGTCTTATAGAGAGTCAAATAGAGGGAGCAAAGAAAGGCCGGGACCAACTCTAGGTGTCCGTCTTATAGAGGTGTCCGTAAAGAGAGAGTCGACTGTAGACATGACCAAGGCGAAAACGGCCACGCCCGTAGCGTAGAGCGAGATGGCTCCCAGAAAACCCATTGTTTATATACGTTTTACCTGTCTTTAATGGCTGCTTGCGAACCGTCCGCAACAGCAGATGCGAAAATGCTGTTAGCTGTGGTAGGGATTACCGCGGGCGCATCGAGACACCATAGGCTAAAGACTGAGCCTACACGGAAATTAGAGGGCGGCAAAGGCTGAAGGCTTAGCCAGTTGTGACGGGACTCTCACCTTCTATACTACTGTTTCGTGACCGCTGTTAGCTTGTGGCCGCTATTAGCAGCAAATTCCAGTTAGTATATGTGGCGTCACAAATCGTCGCCTCGCGGTGTTGACAGATTTATCATCAACCAAGGTAAAAAAACTAATGCTACACATACTACTACGTCTTTAATACCAGCATTGTTCCCAAAGTTTTCCACTGTTACTTTTAGTGCGGTCTGCTCAGGAGGGGTAAGGGTAAACGATTTACCGTTGTTAAATATGAAAGTAAGGCTGTTGACATCTTCATTTTATTACACAGTATGGTTAACCATCGTAAAAACCCTGAAATTCACGATGTTGCCAAATCTGAACTTAACCGTTGGGTTGGATATTAAGTAAACTTCATCTCAAACCGACAAAACAGTAGCCTCCCACGCAAACGTTCTAAGGGGTTCGTTACGCTTTCAAACGTGGGGGAGGAACGCGTGACGAACCCCTAAGGGGTCCTAAGAACGCCTGCGTGGGAGGCTAACAAAAACGGCAATTCCTTAAAGCTGGACTGGACTCTGGAGTTACTCCCCTCCTCCAGAAATAAATTCACCCCTCTAACACCTTTTAAAAGTTTGTAGAAAAGAAAGAGAAATAATGATTTTATGGTCGTACAGATATCATCGACATGGACAATCTTAAAAGTATTTCACCTTCCCCGACCACGAAATAAACCGTCCCACAAATCTTTTCGTAAAGAAAAAGAAACGAGAAATTATGTTTTTAGGCCGGGGGTCCAAGGTCAGTTTGAAGTTTGGAAACAAGTCTTTAACCTATCAAATGCCTCCGCCATCTTCAACCACTCTTCCTGAGAAAAATGTTCTATCTTCTCACCACCACGCTGGCAGTTGAAGTGAAAATACATCAACACCTCCAAACACACAAAAAACATTGACAGGTAGAAATATTAGGTACACGTGAAAAGATTTGGACACCTCATGTTTAAAGGCTACTGTAAAATTAAGGAAACACACTGAGAGGTCTTACAAGAAAGAAGCACAACAAGTGTTTATCACATTTCAACACATTTATTGCAACCAGTATTCTTTTACTTGAGAGGAATGAAGCGAGATGAATGTGTAGCACCGATACCAGGTCTTCCATGCTTCACAGGCTTGTATGTGATGGAAAACTCTCCTAGATAGTGCCCAACCATCTCCGGCTGAAACAACAACATTCAAAGTTACTTATATTTAATATTATTAAATACTAGCGGTTAATAATTGTAAGTAATGTGCTGCAAGTATATAGTATATAGTATACAGGGCAGTACTTATCATAAATTATGAATCTATTGTAGAAACAAACAATTTGCATACCAGCACTCTTATTTTCAAACACCAACTCTACAGATTTGGTTGCAATTTGTTCCTCAATAACCATAATAATTTCTTATAACTAGGGTATCTAAAAGATAGTAATGCTGCGGCACATTCTGTTGACACTGGCATTAGTTAGGCAGTGAGAGTTAAAAGAATCGAAAATGACATTGAATTTCCTATTTACATGTTGGAAAGTAACAATTACTATCAGTCTATATAAAGAACTCGTGGGAACGTTGTTTAAAAAATGGTCAAGTGGTTATCAACTCTGGTTTTCCCACAGTAAATTGTAGGAAATGATAGAAATTCAGATTGTTTATCCATATATTTAATATAGGGTGTACTATCTTTTCTCTGGAAACATGATACTTCTCTTGCTGTTTATTGCACTTTATTAAGTAACAGTTATTTAGCTATATATTTATAGAAAACAACAACACAACACAAAATAACAGAAAAAAAAAAGAAAGAACGAAAAAAAGAGTTCGGAAGGACTCGAACCCGGCACCGTCGGCTCGACGCGACTACACCTCACCACTACACCACAGAGACTGATTACATAATTTTGGGAAAAGTCTTTAATTTAATTCCTTTTCCGTGAAACTTCCGCCGGCAAGATGATCGCCAGCCGCATTTATCGAGCTATTAACAGCAAAAAAACAATGTAAACGCATATTCCATGGCAATGAATGAATGAAAGAACATAATTATGCTTTTCAAAACGCCGATACACGTCCTCGTCTGCAACTTAGGACAGTTTTGTCAACTCGATTTCCGCTGTTATTTTGAAGCGAATGGTCAAAATCACGTCCATTTTCGGCTCATACAGGTTCTTAAGAATAGCATGGCATGGCATTTTCTCACTTTCACATCACCTTCTAGCAAGCTGGAATTTGTATATCCCCCGTGTTGCGGAGTCGAAGAGCAAATACTCATCTTCTCGTCAGGTTTAACACCTGGACGAGTCAAAGGCTCTTGAATTGAAATCCAATCCCCAAGTTAACCATCGTACTCATCTGAAAGACTCCTGCGTGTCTTAAATTTGGTAAGACCTCTAACCGTGCTGTAGAAAATTTGCTACAAAGAAAACTCTGAGTCTGGGCAGCGAACGATGCGAACTTCCCCGTGTTGTTATTTGACTTTTTCGTGGCGCAATGTACTCTGGTTAAATGCAATGCATTGTGGTAAAAAGTGTGGTAAAATGCAATGCATTGTTGTAAAAAGTGATGAATTCTAGAATTTGTTGCCCCTTATATATTTCCTTTAAATCCTGATTATGTTGCTGCTCGCTCCCAAAGGTCGCTCCGCAGCAACAATAACAGTAATAATAATCCGTTTGGTGAACCTTAAATCTACTGAATGAATGAAATACAAAATCCCTGTGATTTGAACACCAAATCAAACAATCAAACTCCCATCGTGTATGTCATTAATGTCATCTAGTCAACCCGTTAAGCAAACCTTGTTAAAAAAAAACAAAAAAAACAAGGCAATCTGTTCAAATACTTTCCAAAGCTGTTAGAAATTTTCACCCAGCCATTCAAGTCCTTTATCAAACCATTAAAATGCTTTGAAAAATTGTTCACTAGCCTTAGTTTTTGCCTGTTTAATACTTAGAAAAGCTTTGGTGTGTAACCTGCATGGCAGGTGGAAAATGGGGACTGGGAGGGGTAGAAAAAAAAGCAGTGGGAAAAGGGTGGGGAAGTCCCTTTTCCTCTCTCCCCAACTCCCCTATCTTTTTCTTCCCTTCTCTACTCCCTTCAACACTTGCCATGCAGGCTATGGGTGTAAGAAATCCTGGAGATGGTCACAATTTTGTTATTATTTTTAGGCCAATCACTTTGGAAGTTCCCTAGATTTAGCATGCAAAAATGGCTTCCACACGAAGAAAGGCCAAAAAAAAAAAAAAAAAAATCAATGAGCGCAAGAAAAAAAAGGTGGTGGTGCTGTAGATTTTGTTTTGATGACGCCCATTCATGATACCAGATTCTAGTGTCATGATCTGATTGGTCAGATTCCTGACTTAGGTTGGCAAGTGAGCAATGAGAAGTACACAGGTACATGCAAACGTTATTGAAGCCAAAACATTCAAGTGTCAAAAATCATAATTTTAAAGGTCCAATTACCTTACTGACATGCTACAAAGTTTCTTTAAATTGGAAGCTCCCTGGATTTAGCCTGTGAACAGGCACCCAAGTGGAGCTGGGCGAAAAAAAAATCGGTGAGCATGAGAAAAAAAGGCGCTGGAGCCTGTATAGCCTGCGTAGCTGGCAGGATTAGTTTTGGAGTGGGGTATTGTTTTGGCGTTGGAGGCAGGAGAAAGGTGGGTATACAAGTAAATTTGTCCTGGCTCCCACAATTCTTGGATAATTTGAATAGTCCGCAGCCAGGCTTACAGGAGTTTCTAACTGGCTGAGAAGCGATAAAATGACAAGCAAATGATAATTAATATCTCTACTATCTCCCAAGGGAAAGTTAGTGCATTCATGTGGAAATGAATCAAATTAAGCAAGCTACAAAACAGGCTGCACTCCAAGATAAGATTTCCGCTTGAAAGAAATCCTCGAAAGACATTTTTTAAAGGAAATAGATCTCACGTCTTCTGCTACCCTTCATTTAAAAAGAAACTAATCTCTTTTTACGACAGGAAATTGGCTAAATAACAAAAGCGCATCAGACAATAGTGCCGGTGTAAACTCCCTGACCCATCCGAGCTCAACATCAAAAGAGTGCTTGATCATTAAAACTTGAACCTTAGAAATATGGGTGGAGTATGCTGTAGAGGATACTTGTTTTTGACTGAGCAAATGTTAACTTTGCCGATTGAGAAGTCATAAGGCTGATGTGTTTCCTGTGCTTTTTGTCTCAGAAGTATTTTAGGGAATTCTTTGACCTCTTTTGAAACATAAAGCTTTTTATTGCGGCTAATAGTTTCTCAAGTTTGGAGTAACTGCAGAATATCCTGCCTGGATCCTGAAAAACATTCAACAAATAGTTTTTTTGTTCCTGACTTGATTGTTCTGCTTGGCTCGGCTCTTTTGTAACTGCTAAGTGCCTTGCACCCTTCAAAATCAAGATGGACAAACCATTGTAGTTCATCATTTAGGCCATAAAATTGACACTTAAATTTGAACATGGAGTTTTATGTATAATTAATAAGGAAACAAGAGTCCAGACTCAAACAAAAGTGAATACGTTTCTCCAATAGACACTACAAGATTGCTAAACAAAGCCTGGTAGTGGTGTGCAAGTCTTTGATTATCATCAATAATTGATTGGAAACCTTAAGCAGAGCAATACTAAAGAGGATATTCAATTAATTAGCAAAATTAAAATGTTGTAAAGCATCTTGACATAAGTCCTCTGAAAAACGGCAACATTTGCACCAGAATACTCACAAGGAAATGCCAAACTAAATGTTTTGAAATGATCATATCGAAAAAGAGGCAAAAAAAAACACAAATGGAGGAAATAAATTATTCTTCCAGAAGCTCATTCTTGCATTTCCAGGGCTCAAAATAATTTCTGGAGAGTCCCCAGACAAGATGACTGTCCAAATTCATTTTAGCTCAGTGACGTATCATTTCTGGCCGGCCATATTTTTAAGAAGAATAACTCTTAAAACAAGGGTCCATGAACAAAAACTGGCATTATCTATTTCCAAAAAATAAAAAAGTTGTTGCTTAACTAATAAAAGTGAAAATATTTAATTAATTTTGTGACTGGAAGTGCCTGAATCCCAATGTCTGTTTCAATGCACGAATTGTAAACAACGGTTCAAGTTGCATTTCACCCAGGATTTTAGATCAAAGTTCCACAATACACAGCGACTCGCTACATACTGATAACAACTGAAACAATTACATTTTCAGTACAATTGAATGTGAGCAATCAACATGACCAGCAAGATGAGAGGTTGACCAGTCAACTCTCCAATTAGTCCAGACATTGTGCATTGACTGGCCGTTATTTCAAGCCCTAAACTTTGGGCAGACTAAGAACTGCATATCACACACTGCTTGTACAGAAAACATGCAGACTTGACAAGTCAACTTTAATAAATATTAGAGTAAACTTTCAGTCATGTGCTAGGAAACTAAGTTCTCCACAAGGATCAAGTTTCACTGATGTCTATCTGATTCATATAGGGCTGAAAAAAACACAGAGACTTAAAAGTGCCACATTTTAACACCAACAAAATCAACATGAAATAAATTTGCATATGAGGGAATGAACACGTATGCTTTGCCCGCTGATGGCGATTAATACCGGAAAAGAATGTGCTATCATGCTCTTGCCACCAAGACTAATAGATTAATGATCTTGATGGCATTGTGAAAGAAAATGTTACCAAAAAGTGCCAGAAAATTTGATTCAGACCCTTGACTCTCAAATTGTTAGAGTCTTAAGACAAAATGTTAGAGCGCTATGACAAACCATTAGAGCGTTATGACAAACTGTTAGAGCATTTGGGCAAACCGTTAGAGCGTTAGAAAAGCCATTAGCTATCAGTTTAGCTTTCTAATGGTTGACAGATTATTCTTAGTGTACGTTTTCCCAAAGAAGGTCACACATTTTCAATTTGGAACAATAGTTTGATAATAAGAACGAAAACGGAGGAAAAAGAATATTAGTTAGAGCATATCAAATTGCAGATGAGTGTGCTTAGGTGACAGGATCATATGTTTATCGGATTGGCCAACCCAAGTTAAAGTTGCAAGCAAACTTGCCTTTTTCCAATCTGTCATCCGAGATGCATATTTCTAGTCCATATTTATTGTGTGGTTCCAGTAGTTTTGTTCTCTAGGATGCCAAATTTTGTGAGTTTCGTGTATTTTCTGTTGCATTGTATAACAGATAAGCGAATTCCTTATGCGAACTCCTTATGCGCTCAAGTCAAAGACAAATTTTGTGCATTTCATGTAATTTCTGTTGAATTCCACAATTCTGCATATGAAATGCAAGGTCGCGTAGCAAACATAACCGTACTTTTCTCGCACTGCGTCAAGAAGAAAGCATCACTTGAAGAAGTATAACTAAAGAGATGAGGACCTTGTGGTGCGACAAGACAGTGTGAGTATCGAATTTCGTTCTACGAAATTTGCATATTTGAGTTTGCGGTAAAATTGCGTGTCGCCGATGTCATTGATAAGAAAATTGTCACGCAAAGTTTAACGTGCTGGAAAGACTCATGTAACTTCTTTGTGATAGAGAAACAGTCAAGAGAAGAAGAAATGCAACCAACTGAAAAAACTTATTTTTCGTGTTTTGTGTTTTCGACATGCAAGGAAAATGAAGTTTCATTCCACTGGCTCATAAACTACAAAAGCGTAAAAGATAAAAAATGTTATTTACGGGAAACTTGTTGAAAAAATAAAAACTTAAGTATTGAATAAAATGTATGTCGATACTGTCGATAATCGATTGATAATATGAAAGCGAAGATGGCTACAAAGGAGCAGAGATCCTTAACTATTTCATATATAATACGTTTGTAAACAAACTTTGTAATGTACGTGACCTGGAGAATAACAGGTCATTCGACGCGAGTGGCTAGCGACGAAATGGTTTTGGGATGGAAACTCGGCTAAAATTTATCTTTGAACAGATAGCTTCAGTCGCTCGAACGGTCGACAAATTCTTTTTCGAACAGATAGCTCGAGCCGTTTGAACGGATAACAATTTTTTCAAACGGATATCCCAAGCCGTTTGAACGGATGACAATTTTTCTCAAACGGATAGCCCAAGCCGTTCGAACAGATGACAATTTTTCCCGAACAGATAGCCAAAGCCGTTCGAACGGATGACAATTGTTTTTGAACGGATAACCCAAGCCGCTCAAACGGATACCAAATCTGTTCGAAAACGGCAAACCGTAAGGAACATTTTTGCGCGAGAGGTCACGCCAAGGGACTGACAAAATATGTTCGCTATGTCCATTAATCCATAGGTTTAGTAGCTCTTTAACTTTCATTGTGTTTTATATCTTTGCAAATAAATTTTCGTGGTAAATTTTTGTGTTTTTTCTTTGTTACTCTCTTACGCGTCACGAGAACCCTCTGGGAATATTTTCCTATGGTGACCCCCCCCTCCCCGCTGGAAAATTAGGCAAATCGACCCCCCTGCCCCCTGGAAAATCCAATCCCTTTCATGGGGGGGGGGGGGTATGGATATTTTCTGGAACCGCACATTACAATATTGGCTGTGAAACTAATAGTTTAAATATTTATTTTCACATGAATTTATAGCAGGGCAGTTTTCTTTGAAGGGGAATGTCACGCAATACAAAGCTGCTGCACATAAGCAAGTTTCTTTATTAGGGTGGTATCAGGTTACAAACAAAACACGCGAGTTTCTGCGTTGTTGAAAAAGAATCGGAGATTTATCATTCACTTACTGAAAAATGTTTCATGACAAGAAAACCAAAAATGAGAAGTTGAGGTGCAAACTTTTGCTGAGCAGAGTCATTTTTCATCGTCCATATGACATTAGTGTTTCTTGGTAAACAAAAACATTCAAGGCAAATTGGTATTTCAAATCCAGGGTTCTCATTAAGTTTTAAAGTAGACAGCTAGGATGTAAAAGGTGGATTGGCAATCAAGTGTTGTAGGCAATTTGAGGCTTTCACACCCTCACTGTAGACAGCTCATACCTCAAAGAAGCCGGTTGCCGGCACTTACTGAGAACCCTGCAAATCTCTTAACTGTTTAATTCAGCATTGATAACATTTTATTTTGATAAGACGGAAATTGAAATAGTCTTTTCTTTCTGTTGAAGCATTTCTCAAAGACAAAATATTATTATCCTCCACGGAATGATTTTTGCAGGCAGTTAAGCCAATCCATTCAAAGGGATTGCTAGTCCGTTTGGCTTTTTTATTCATCTGTTCAAATGGATTACCTCCATTTGAATAACTTATTTATCCATTCAAATGCTTTGCAGACTGTTCTTTAATCGTTCGTTATCTATCCTTTTTTTTGCCAGTCAAACAGTTTTCCATGAGCCTCCATTTTACAGTACCACTCAAAAGTAAGTTAAACTTACCAATCGTGTCTCGTTTCCTTTGCGACGAGAATCACTCGCGTGCTACGCATTCTTGTCGTGCGATAAATGTTGAAGCGGCAATTTTTGGCATAACTTACAGTACCACTCAAAAGTAAGTTACCACTCTCTCGCGAGACGTGAATCGCGTTGTAGACCAGTCGGCAACGCTTCCCAAAGCGCTGTCATACCTCTTGGTTTCTTTTGGACAAACAGATGTGCTACCAAACTGTACTGGAAAAACTCTACGTTGGATTTACAAACCTGTCATTTTATGGAGCTGCTTTAAAGTTTAGGCCAGTGAGTTTATCTGGTTTATAGAAGTGCCGAAAAATATATCTTTTCATAGTATGCAAATATAAGACTTGAGAAGTAGGTTTCAAATTTCACATGCTTTGACAGTATGCAAATTTGTCATGTGTGACAAGGCGAGAAGAACCTAATATACTGCAAAAAAATGAGACAGCAGAACATTTGCTGAAAAAAACTTTTTTGTGTGACGACAGATCGTAAATTTGAACAGTGTCAAAACATGTCTAATTTGAAGCCTTCTCAGGTACCATATTTGCATACAGTACTCTTTTTGGCACTTCGATAAACTCACTGGCTTAAACTTTAAAGCAGCGCCATGAACTGACAGGTTTTAATATCCAACATAGATTTTTTCCAGTAGATTTCGCTGGAACATCCATTTGTCCAAAAGAAGCCAAAAAGTATGACAGCGCTTTTGGAAGCATTGCCAGTCCGTCTACAATTCATTTCAGCTTAAAACTTTTAACAAAACCTGCTGGCAGTTATAAGCAAAGCCATCACCTGAAAGTTTTTTTAAAACAGGTAGTTTTTAATGTGGTGTAGTGGATAAAGCGACTTTATTGAAAGCATGTTTTATCTAAATATGGAAATACCGATCCTTCACAAAGAAATTTTAATATGCAACAGTCTACAGGTCTCCGAGGAAAAAATTTGTGTGCATGCTAGTCACGGTAAAACTTTATCAACGCTTCTTGAAACCACTGAAGAATTTTGGCAATGATACAAAATGATATACTTACAGTTTTAGGACTATGGTGCACTACGAGAAACGTGTCCTGCGCTACAGGAATTGGGAGGCTATTGCATTTAATATCTGCACCCCCTGGTTGAGGAACCATGGAGTTCTCCAGGGATAAGTTATAAAAATTGAGGATTTCTTTAGGGGTAGAGTAAAAAAATTTGGAATTCTTTAGGGGTGAAGCTTTAATTCTCACGAAATTCTTCAGCATAAACCCATATTTTATGGAGGCCTTCAGGGGTAAATGCAGTTTTACCCAATCTTCTGGAGTAAGAAGAAAAGGTAAGTCCTCAACCGGAGGATACGCATATTAAATGCAATAGCCCAAGCAGCCCTCTGTGGGTAGCAATCAGAATCCTGTATCAATAGCAAATACAAGTCGGTGTACCGGTCCCGTACGATTCGTAATTCAATAGCTACTGGGTAAAAAACAAAAAAATAAATGTGACCCCTACCTTAATTTCTACTTGGTTAAAAGTTTTGCCGTTGTACACACCAACCATACTGCCGATCATCTCTGGAAGAATGATCATGTTTCTCAAGTGTGTCTTCACAACATCTGGTTTCTCCATTGGGGCAGCTTCTTTCTTGGCTTTTCTCAGTCGTCGCATTAGATGCACAGGTTTTCTTTTAAGTCCCCTCGCGAACCTTCGCCTGGCACGACAGTGAACCAGCTCCATCAGCTGATCGTGGGATAAATCAAGGAGCTGGTCGAGGTCCACACCACGATAAGTGAACTTACGAAAAGTCCTCTTCTTCTTTGGCTGTTCTTGTTCCGACTGAAATAACGGGAGAAGTATTTTCGTTAAGGTAAAGGAAGACTTACATTGAAAAGTTCTATGTCAAAGTTGCACATAAACTTAAATATTTAGTAGCAAAATACAAAAATCCACCACGGACAATAAAGAATCAGTAACGATTGAGGTAGATGGAATTGGATCGCTACCGCACTAACCATCTTCTATCGCCTTGCGTTCGAGGGATGAAAAGAGAACGTTTACGCGTAATGATTACTCATAAGACTCCGCAGTGCTAATGTACAGCGGATGGTCGCTGATGGAAGGTACCTTATATATGAAAACCATGAGGATTCTGGGTAAATTCCAAGATGGCGATGGATTTTTACCGCTTGCAAGTGCGTGAGTTTTCAAGAGTGAGCAAACGGCATACTGTGGACTCAAAATACTGGAAAAAACTGAGTGTAAGAAAGACAAAAAGCATCAATGGTATTCACCTCTAGATAGTTTCTCACGAAGATAACGTCCTGTCTTTGAATTTAGTTTCCGACTGTCATAAAAGAGTATGGCGCGGTTAACCACGTGGATATTTGTCTTACGTCTCCTCATGATATTGTCGCCACAAGCTCGTTCCGTGTAAGTCCTTCCCATAATTATTGTACCATGCATGTTTGTGAGCTATATATTTGGGTTAATTTGTTATGTCTGATTAACGCTGGGCCTTATTAATCATAAAATTTTTAATAGCTAGCGTCAGGGCTAAAATTTGGAATAGTATCCCTGAGAATCTGAGAAAACTTCCAAAACACGCTTTCAATAAAAAAATACACAGTGTATTATTTCTCAATTTTCAAAGCCAGGATAGCTATGCTGATATAGACACTCTTAAGGACGTTCGCGCGAAAATCTTCTAACACTGATTTTTTTCTGAAACTTTCACCAGTTTGAGATTATGGGTTACTCATGTCAAAAATGTAATATATAGATTTAGCCAGGGCTAAAAGCGGGGCTCCCATTAATAAATTTATAATTTAAATTAAACAATAAACTTGTATTCGAATTCCACAATTCAGTTAACTTTAGAGCACATTTATGTGACTTTTGAGGGAAAGGCTACCTGATTTTAGAGAAAAATAATTTGCAAACAGCCCAAGAGTGAACCAAATCTTACATCGAGTTGATAGCCTCATATGTACACCCAAAAACTGGTAATCATCTTCGATCACATTTAAGAGCCATAATGGCTCTTGATCACCGTAGATTAATTAGTGGGAAAAAAAATCAGGCCAACTTTTTTGCGTTCGACAAGTTTACTTTGCAAAATCTTGTCAACAAATCTGGGTGCGTGTAAACCAACCTTTTATACCATTTATACATCACATCTGAGGTGAAACAGTAGTATGAGGCACTGTTTTTATCATACCGGCAGACCTCGGACAGAAAGCAGTATTTCACAATACAAATTGCACTCATTCAATATTCATAAACTGTTAAAAAAATTTCCAAAATCACCTATACGGCCATCCGGTTCTCACTTTTGTAGTGCGAGCTGTGGCGAGTGTTTGAATGAACATTAACAGAGTTACGCTCCAACATTATAAAGAATTTATTCTGTTTATTTTTTATTTAATGGTTTATTAACGCGCGGCATTTTGAGTACTCCTGCAAGCGATGTTCACTGAACGACTGAAAACAATCGGCACAGCGATTAAAATTACAAGAGAGACTACTAACAATCAATAAAAGAAATATAATTCGGTGAAACATATACAGAAACAACAATTTTCATTCAGGAAGACAAGTATTAAAGTATCCCTAAAAATCCTGAGTCTTCAAGCTTCAAGCTTAAGTTTATGTTTTAAGCCGGCTTCCCGGTGTTTGCTTTTTTCAAAGACGAACTCGAGGCAAGAAAATCGCTCAAAGCTTTCTTTTCCGGCCAGAATTATAACTAAATATTCTTTGGAACGTTTTCTTTCTATTTGCGGTGAGAAACTGTCTAAAGGCTTTTTAAAGTTCTGTAAGCTTATATCAAACCTGATACTCGGTCAGATCATTGTCTCAAATCTTACAAACGTGCATAAACTAAATGACCGCATAAACTCCGCTCGACTTCATTAAATTAGATCCAAAAAAACAAACATCAAATACAATAATTTCTCTGGCTTACCATTCGAGATGCAGCTCCTGAAAGGTATCAAGAAAAGCCAGTATCGCTTCAGACTTTGCAATCCTCTTACGCATCAAGCAAGGTGAAAACGAAAACGATGCCATCCGAAATCGGATTTCCGACTTTGACAAGCGACGTATTCCTCAACCAAAAACCCAATAAACAAACTAGCCATGAATAACAGAGGACTCCTGATAGCAGCTGAATTTCATTTTGCACATCCAGTGGAAAAAGACAGTTAAAAACATCACAAGTTGACACAAAACTCTGTCAGCT